ACTAATTGATGAACTGAAAACACCTGGTGAGAAACACGAGGGTGACAATCAGACAAATCGGGAGCAGCWGAGCTGTGACACACTGGGGAAACAGAAACACTAGGAAAACTAATGTGAAAACAGACAAACCATGACACTCATGTTAACCAATCACAAGAACTGCCTTTTTTCATCTAAAAATTTTCTCATGCATGCCTTCATCACCTCTACACTTTATTGTAAAAACATTCTTTATGGTTCATCCAAAGTCTTCAATAAACTCCAGCTCATATACTCTGCCGCTCACTTGCTGACCCACACATACTCGAGTGACCACCTCATTCTACCGGCTCCATGTCCCTCAGCGCATCTGTTTCAAAGTCCTTCTTCTTACCCACAAAGCCCACCATGCTACCTCACCACCCTGTTCAAACGTCACACTCCTCGCAGACTTCACTGTTCTGATACCAACCTCCTGCCTCCACCACTAAGATCAAAACACTAGACCTGGGGTGGGATTTATAAAAYTGGCGTACGCACAATTTGAGCCCAGAAACTTGCGTACGCCACTTTTTACGCCAAGGTTGTGATTTATAAAATCCAAACTTGACGTGAAAATGTGCGGTGCCTCACGCCAGCTCTGACCCATGCGTGCGCTCATTTTGGAGATGGGAAACTGTGACACAGATGGTGAAGTGAGGAATTAGAGCCACACTGTGTAATGATCACTGTCAGATATTTAATTTACCTTCATTATCAGACTTAAATAAAAGTTCCCGTGCGCAACTCCATTCATCTGCTTCCTCCTCAGACGACCCTGATCCACAGACCCCTCCCCGATTAGAACAGCAGGATAGCAAAAGCTTTGGATACACGCGCAGGGCGTGTATCCAGTCCGTGTTTGTCACACACGCACGGGGGGATGCGTGTGTGTGTGTGTGTGCGTGCGTGCGTGCGCGCGGGGCGGGAGTCTGCCGCGGGTAACAGAGCAGGCAGGAGAGGAAGAGGACGAGGAGAAGAGCGGTGGACTTATTCCTAATTTTACCTGACTTATTTAATTTAATTTTAATTGTTTTTATCGTCCTGCAGGCTCTGATGGAAAATTAATTTGAAGCTGAGATTTTTTTTTTTAAAAAATCGTTAGATTACACTAAAGCAAAATGAGGGAAAATCTGTGTCAATTACAGACAATCTGTTCACGTGAGCAGCTGTCAGTCAGCACCTGTCAACCTCCAGACACACGACGGAGTGTGTCTGAACCAATCACTTTTGTTGGCATTGATCAGCTGACTGATTTAAATACATCTTAACATTCATGAGGTACTTTACATTGACTGTTTATGGTTGAGAGTGGGCGTGTAGAGGGTAGAACCTGAGGCGGGACCTCGTGCGCAAACTCTGACGTGCGGCTGTGGTTTAAAAATGAAAGATGCGCAGAAATGTGCGTACGTACGGTTTTATAAATCTGAATTTTTTTTTGGCGTATGCCATTTCCGCCTTTTGGCCGTACGTTCACTTTTAGTAAGGTTTCCACGCAATCCTTTATAAATGAGACCCCAGGAGTGTAATGCGGACAAACATCGAATTTACTCTCTGTCCGCCCGAGCTTGTTTGATCCTCCCACGTGGACCTGGTACCGAGGTGAAAAATATAACATACAGGTACTTTTAAAGGTTCAAACCTCCTTTATTATTTTTTAATAAAACACTTATGATAAGATACAGTATTGTTTAAAAGCATAAATGCGCATTTATAGAGACAACCTTACAACCTGATTTTTGGAGAATCCGGTGCAACTCAGCTCATCTGCTGGCAGATTGTCTGTCTGATGAGGAGAACAGCAGCGTCTTTATTCTTCTCTTACACAGACACTCAGGATCCTCCCTCAGGAATGCAATTCTAACTGGACTCA